AGCGATGCCCTTGTTCCTAGTAGCGATGCCCTGGTTCCTAGTAGCGATGCCCTTGTTCCTAGTAGCGATGCCCTTGTTCCTAGTAGCGATGCCCTTGTTCCTAGGAGCGATGCCCTTGTTCCTAGGAGCGATGCCCTTGTTCCTAGGAGCGATGCCCTTGTTCCTAGTAGCGATGCCCTTGTTCCTAGTAGCAGTGCCCTTTTTCCTAGTAGTGATGCACTTGTTACTCGTGGCATGTTTATAGCTCGACAATGAGCGGACTTCAGATAGTAGACGTCGAGGTTGCAATATGCATCTATATACCCACAGAACTTTGGATTGTGTGGCTGGCGAGTAGCATTGAGTAGCTATATTACGATATATTCCGCCAGCCTGAAGATGTTTGGCTTTGACCCTCTTCTCGCACCATCAGGAATATGTCTACGAGAGCGTTTGCCTCAGATACTTGACCCATGTGCAGTTTGGTGGACAGTATTCCTGGAGAACGCAGGTGCAAACTGCAGAGCAGGCACTGATGGAGCTGCGGCAGGCTCACTTGGATCTCAGGACTCTTTCGACACGAGTTGGTTCAGTTGGTGTGGTTGAAAGTCCATCAACAGATGAAAGCAAGCCAGTTTGCTCTCCCGTGCCAGGAAGAAACAAGATGAGGCATGCGGGTTTTTGATGCATGCATGCCCCTTTGCACTAGGTTGCACCTTGAATCTGGAAAAGCACCAACTCTGGCTGAACTCTAGCTGAAGCTTAAAGGGCTTTTATATGCCTTTATCAATCTCTATTGCTGCGGTTCTGAAAGTCGCTTTGACTTAGCGATGCCCTTGTTCCTAGTAGCGATGCACTTGTTCCTAGTAGCGATGCCCTTGTTCCTAGTAGCAAGGAACGCATCACAGTTCCCCCTGATGTATGTTGCCTGCGCTGCAAGGCCACTGTGCTGCGCCGTGCCACCCGTGCCGTTGCGCAACGTGGGGGTGGGCCACCGCCACCGACGCAAGAGGCATCGCCGCCTGCACCTGATGAGGCGCTGTTGAAGATGAGTGTGTATAGGACAATCTTGGACAAGAAATGAGCTCAAAGAGTTTTACAGTAAACAGATTTGAAACTTTTGTGTCAGACGCGTAGTGACATAGTGCCAGACACTGCCCGTTCCTTGTTGAGGCCGCGGAGGTGCAACAGCCTGATGACCTGGACAATGAGGAACAGGACAGTATCGGCTTGACAAGTGGAAGCTCTTGGCGCAAGTCACTACACTTGTAAGATGTCTTATTACATCTTACGACTTGCACCCCTTTAGTCCGTATAGCCCTTCATGCAGTTGTTGAACATGACTCTCCCCTCAAGCTCTGCCAAGTTGCTTTTGCAAGGACGCCGCTGCGGAGCCTGCATCTGAGGAGCAACAGAAGTTGGAGGAAGAGGAACAAAGATCCTTGCAGAAATGTAGATTTGGGCCCCACAGAAGCCACAAGCTTTGCCATTCTCAAATTATGGGATATCTTATTCTTGATGCCGCAACACTGCCCTAGGAAAGCTTATTGGTTACAATGAGGCAAAGCGAAAGCTTCAATGGCATTTGAGCTTGCTATATAATTAGTTAAAGGTGGCTGCCCTTGTGATTTCATCCTGCCTGGCAGGCAACCAAGACCTTCAAGCGCTTCAGGCCGCGTTTTCAGTTGTGCTCCACGAACAATCTGCTTTTCGAAACAAGAGGGAGACGTAGGGCAGACCCAATTTTTTGTACTTACTAATTGATCTGAAGGCCTGATTTCAAGTGCGGCAGCCGGGTCCCATTACTCCCTGACGACGAAGTGGTGGAATGCGACCGCTTGAGTGTCACCCCTTGCTGCAGTGCGTGGCCTGCCCGCGATGCAACGAACACTGCCTACGGAGAGTTGTTTTTCAAGCTTCCGTTGAAGACGTATGTGACGTATTGCATGAAAGAGTCAAGTTGTTCCATGTTGCCCCAACCCAAGGCTGGGATGGTGTGGGCGGACGAAAGGTCACTGACCCTTGACAGCAGTCAGTAGGGTGCATTCATTCTTGCAGGCCGACCGCCCGATGAGACACCTAGGAAACTACCACGTCTACTTGTCAATAAGCTGCACAGCTAGAAGAGAGAAAGAGAGAGAGGGAGAAAGAGACAGACAGACAGACAGACACACACACACACACACACACACACGCACAGACCAGACCAGACCAGACCAGACCAGACCAGACCAGACCAGACCAGTGACCAGACCAGACCAGACCAGACCAGACCAGACCAGACAGAGTGACAGAGAGAAAGAAAGAACGAAAGAAAGAAAGAAAGAACGAAGTTTCAAGCAGGCTTTGATTTCCACAGCCGAGGTAGGTGTGCCACATGCATCGACTACCGCAAAGAGAGCAGCGGAAGCCAGATAAACTCCAAACGCTGAGAAGGGTCATAGGATCGAAGCAAGCTCGGGGAAGGCAGGCAAGCATCCGACTCCGGAGCGTTCTGCCTGGTTTCCCTTTAAATTGATTGCTCGCTGCTCGCTGTGCGCAAAAAGCTGGAACGGATCAGAAGGCATTGTTAAGGCCCCGATGGTTATCACGAGGGCATCGTGCAACCAGTGCTTTCCAAGAGGCTTCGTTCGCAGGTGCGCTGCCTTGCAAACCCTCTACACTGCAGGACACAAAGTTGAATTGGCTGCCTCTTCCTTAGGGGTGATTGCAGTTGGATGGGTGCTTCATGCATACCCTCACAACAGCGGCAAACGAGTCTGAGACGAGGCCACAAAATTAGGACCCGGCTTTCCAGGCTTCCAGGCCAGCAGTTTGTGAGTTGATTGGGTACAGTATGGTTAACCAGTTAACCGTTTCATTTGCCTTGACTGTGTTCCAGCGAGAGAGCAGGCGTATCATACATCGGTCAAAGTGGATGACATGGAGTACTCCTTCAGTGGCGTATCGTGCTTACCAACAAGAGCGTGCTGCATTGCTAGAAGGGAACTTCATGATACTTTGGTGTGCCGCCTTCAACAGGAAGGGATTGTGGTTCAACGTGGCTTGCCCAGCCACATGCGATTGCCAGACACACCAGAGGCATGGCTTTGGTGGGAAAAAGGTTTGGCCACATTTGAGGCTGTCATGCGCACCTGAATTCAGGTGGTCTATGTTGGTCTCACCAGCCTGTCTGGTGACGTCATGCAGAAGCATCTGACGGGATTCTTCAAGAGAGGCCTCCACGCTCGTTTTCACTTCGGGAGGGAGGGAGGGAGACACAGGCAGACAGACACAGACACACACACACACACACACGCACACACACACACACACGCTGATAAATGTAAACAAAGCTTGCATGGCTTGCCCGCTCCTTATCAAACGACGTTCTGTGCAGGTTCCTACGACCTCTTGCGGAAGAACTGCAATTCCTTTAGCGACTGCGCCCTCTACTTCCTTTTGGACAGTTCCATGTTCATCCTGATGCCTTCTTGTGGATCACAACTTGAGCTGCCCCAGCCGCTTGAGTGTGAGGACATGCGCCTGGATCCAAGCTACAAAGGCTGCGGAACTTGGCGGTCGCTGAATTTGGGTCTGTAAAGCTCAAGGATCATATGGATTCCGGTATGAGAATCGTTCCTTTGAGTTCCTTTGACGTCCACAGTAGGTTCTGTTTTGCTTTTGTTTTTTTTTGGGGGGGGTGCTGGTATCCATTCTAGTGTGTTGGGCTTGGTGGTAAGAGGCAACATGCAAATTACTGTAAGTGTGCGGACTTTTTGATGTAAAATATATCAAAGTATGCTGTTAACTTGCTGTTCGCGTAGGCCTTGAGCAGCTGGGCCACATGGCAGATCGGCAAGCAGGCAGGGTGACGAGGTAGGCCCAGGCACAGCGATTGGAAAGCAAAGGCCTTGCCAAACTTGCGGCTTTTTCAGAAAAACCATTCTCTCCTGATCTGGACGTCCGAAGTCCGACAGGCATTGTCCAAGCTGTTACAGAGGGCAACTACAGACCGAACCCAAATGCGGACACATTCAGTGCCTGCACCCAAGACCACAAATGTCTCATTTGCGGCATGCAATGTAGAAGTGAGGACAAAAACAGAGGGCAGGTATCTCTTGCAGGGCTTGAAAGTTGAAACCCAAGGTCGCTGCAACCATTGAAGCAATCAACAAACTGAAGGATTCGCCAGCGTTTCGGTTTTCATAAAGTTGTGCAAAGGACTGCAGTCCTTTAAAGATGCCGAATTTCGCCCCGGATCTTGCCAGTTCCTTTGCCGCATCATTTCCCCTCGAATGCAAGGGGGGAGTGGTGCAGGCCAGTGCTTGAAGGAATGCGTCCAGCTGCTTCCTTCCGATGTGTTTTCTTCTCGCATTCTTCGGTCCTTCAGTGCGCCGTCCTGGCCGTAGCTGCAGCGGTACAGCGCTGAAAGCGCGTGCTCGATGTGCAGCTTTTCATTTGGCGCATCCCACACAAGCTGAGAGCACCAAGCCTGCTTGACACCAAACAAACCCCACACCATTCACACACACACATACGAGCGCGTGGACATGATATATACGCAACATATTATACTCCACGAAAAAAGTAAAAGGCACAGGGTTTTTGAGTTGCGCCATCTACTTGGCATTGTACGCTCCTTGAGTTGCGCCATCTACTCCACACAAGGGATGCCAAGCAAAAACGGCACGAGTAGACTCGATCAAAGGCGATTGTTGGAATCGAGCCGTCCCGATTTTTTTGTCTTAAGGTTGAATTTGGGAAAAAACAGGTGGTTTTTGTCAGGTTTCGTGCTTTTTTAGTATTCGTTCACCCATCGTCTGCAAAGCTAAATCATGAGGGAGTAGATGGCTCAATACTTTTTAGAGGGGCAAGAGTGCATATCATGGAATGGCCTCATCTTTGCAAAGAATCATGAACTTACAGTAGCATTAGCATTTGTCTAGTGACTGGCAATGCAAGTAGATGGCGCAATGTTTCAAGATCTCATCAGTCACGGATCCATAACCGCGATTTTTGGCAGTGGTCTGAATTTGACGTGTGGGTAGGGTAGATGGCGCTCTCCGCATGATTGGAGTTGCGCCTCTTACTTTTTTCGCGGTGTACATATATATATGTATATGTGTGTGTGTGTGTTCTGTGATGTGATGTATATGTGATGTGATGTTATATTATGCACCAAGACGATTTAGGACAAACATGGACAAACATGAGAAACCAAGTCATGCAGATCCGCTCGCAGACAAGAGAACTTGTGCTTTGACAGTTTTAACGAAATCGCTTCCTCGTGCTTCAGCCATTGCATGCAGAGGTTAATTCTGCACAATGATGCTCTATTTGTCAGCTTGCTTCGCGCACTCGGCCTGGGGTCAGCTGCTGAACGCACATATGGCTGTAGCGGCGTGTGCTTGCCACGGATTGACATTGGCATATCATGGCATAGCACGCCGACTACTGTGTAGTGGTTGCTGACTCGAAGGCCAAAATTCGACTGCATTCTCAGCGTCTCCGTGTGAGTCGCCCTCCAGCGTTCGAAAAAGCCAGCATGACTTGCTCCATGGTTTGAGCACGTCTCATTCTCTGAATCAGCTGAATTGAATGCATTGTTGCTATTTGTTCCTTACAATACTTGAAGCCGAAGATGTTGAACCGTCCGCAGACATGGGACAGTGACAGTGCATGAAACAGTGTGTAGGGCTAGGATGGTTGACGTGGTGCCTAGTGACTGGACGGCACTGCTTTCTGTGTGTGTATGTGGGTTTGCCGTAGTTTTTTTTGTCATTCATAGCTTTGCTCATGCTATGATTGCAATTTGGGGTTCCAAGGCGAGTTGCCGGAGTTCATGGAGGGCCGGTATGACCTTTGTGAGCGGAACACCTTTCTTGACTTCCCGGCGCCGAAGCCATTGCCCCTAGAGAAGGCGCAAACGGATCCACCGCCTGGTCTCGAAGGACTCTGCACCAGAAAGTTTGTCTCAGAGACTGAGCATTCAGAAGACTCCACCGCAGCAGATGATGCTGAAGAGACACCGCCTCCACCTTTGCCTTTGGAATACTTTGTGACACCTGACTGCTTCGAAGATCTGCCTGATCTACCCAAACCGCTTTCTGCTGCGGCCCCAGCATTTGTCCCATCGCCCCTGCCGTGCGTAATAGACCTGAGCCCAACCTCTGAATCCTCACAGCCACGGCCGCGAACACAGATTAGTTTGGAGGAGATGCTGGGGCCAGGGGCAACGCCGCCCTTAGTGCCAATGCCCGTGGCAGGAGGTGCACCCGTGTGGCTCCCAGCACCGCCCGTGATGCCAGCACCGATGCTTGCGGAACCTCCATCTCCCGAGGCAAGAAAAGGATGAGTCGTTTTCAAGGAATTATATACGTCTATATTTATACCATTTTATACCAGAGAGACATGAAATGCGCACAAATACATAATTTACCATGATCTGAGCAATATATCATAACAAATATACTGTATATATATATATATACATGACTTGAACGTGCTGTTGATGCAACCTGCGCCTCAGAGCCTCGGTGAGAGATCGCAGGTGCCCCTTGACATTGCAGTGGCTGGCCCCAATCTGCCTGCCAACGACCTACAGCCAGGACATCTCTTGTGCCAGGCCAAGAACTGAACACTTTTTGATCTAGGAACCCCATGAATAGTGAATACAGTAGTGCGAGCACTTCTTCAAGGAAGCTCCCCACGGCTGAGCTTAAGCTATCCAGCGTCCAGTAGTCATTAGGCCTCATAGTGACGTCATGTTCCCCTAATCGGCCGCATTACTAGTACTAGTAGTAGTAGTAGTAATAGTAGTAGTAGTAGTAGTAGTAGCAGGAACAGGAAGCTACTAACAAGGGCATCGCTACTAGTAACGAAGGGCATCGCTACTGGGAGCAAGGACGCTACTAGTAGCTCCTGGCATTAATGCGTTGGATGATTTGACTGCGCGGATCTCGCAAGATCTCGGGAGGCACTTGACAAAGGCCGCTGGGACGTGATATCCTTAGATCATATGTAGTGCACTTTCTTCAAAGACCGCAGAAGTTTACATGAGTTTTCCATGGCTTTCCCATGTTTTCTTCCATGATGGCATGTGATGACTCGCAGTTTCAGTCTGGCTGAAACTAACGTGGTTGAACCACGCCAAAGCTGGGGTAGGTACATTGGTCAGTGGATAGTCGGCAGTTCTGGGCTCAGACGGAAGTCTCGGGCTGGCTTCGTACTTCCCATGATGAAAGGCTTTGCACGCGGAACAATACACAATGATCAAAATGGACATCAAGCAAAAAGTATATATATATAGGAAACACTATATACTTTAATATGTTAGAATGGACATGACATCAAAAGACTGTTTTAGGGGCAGAGTCGTGGCGGATTTGTGCAGCTGCACACATGCTAAGGCTCTATGCTACGACAGTTCATTTCTCAAATTGCTGCATGCTTTGTGGATTGGCCCAGAGGCAGGACACAAAGGAAGCTTTGGGCTCAACAAGCTAAGGTCCGCCTCGTATCCAGCACTTTTACGTTGCCAGCTTAATTTGAGCTTCAGCTTCAGATTCATCGCTCTTATTTGGTTGTCTATATATTGTTCTGGAGTGTATCGGGTATTGTGATATGAACAGAAACACAGAACCCGCAGGTTGGACATTCCGAACGTTGGCAGCACGCCCTTCAAGGCACCCTGTCAAAACAATGACAATAAACTGGCATACCGAAGAAGAAGCTTGGCGCTCTAGTGACTAGTGAGAAAGTCCGCAATGTAATGGCTTTTTCACGGGCATTTGATGGTCAAAGGAGCGTTTTAACCAGTTTTGTACTGCAGCATATCGTGTTTTGCAGCCTTGTGGAGAGTGCCTCGAAGATTGAGACTGGATTGGATTGCTTCCTGAGGGGAGGGAGTTGGCAACTGCGCTTTTGTGCGGTTGTGCGGCATGTTAACGCATGTTTCATGTGGTTGTATTTGATTCCCTGGTTCTTTTCTTTTGCATTCTGAATTGCCATGGTCGGTCTTGGCTTTCGCAGGCATTTCTGCACCCGAAGGTGCCTGGGAGGGTGAGCCAAGTTGTTTGTGCTGATGACTAGTGCCCAATTCAGAGAGAAAAGGAGAAGCCACGCGCACTTGACAAAGAGTTGTGCCTGAAACGTCTTTGGAAACTATAGAAACATTTGGTGTGGAGCATGTTTGGAAGTCGTGCCTTTCTGAAGAAGACGAGGGAGGACGGAGGTTGAGGCATGACTTGGGAGGCATGACCTGGACGCACCCTGCACGGAATAGAAAGACACGCAGTCACGCAGTGTGTAGATTTTGGTGGTAGTTGTTTGAAGTTATTTGAAGGTGGGAAGTGAGATGGGGCGTGAGCGAGACCAAAAGGAATGAAGCTTCTGCTTTCGGTTTAGAGTCTCGAATTGAAACGTCAGCCAACCAAGAGGTTCCGCAAGAAGACTGCATTGGTACTACCTTTTTATTGACTCCAAGTCTTTGGAGTTCACCAAGTTGCAGGAAGAACCAGTCAATAGAAAAAGAGCTGGCTAGCTTAGCTTTATGTCTTCCTTGCGGGTAGGTCGTGATCAACAACAAGCGTGGTGGAGGTTTCAAGAAAGCCAAGGGCAAAGGCAGTGTGGTGCTAAAGTGTGAGGCCAGGCGGGAGCGAAGAGCAAGCCGCCGGGAAAAGGTGAAAAGGACTTTACCCAGTTCCGGCACTCCTTTGATACCCAATCTTATGCTTTGAACATGCGGAAGGAAACATTGAGTGACAAACTACCCACTCGAAGCCTCTATGAAAAAGCCTCCTTGGTTTGCCCATTAGGACATGGACTCACATGGACTCTTCATTCTACCTACCCGTGCCTACTAGGCAGAATGGGACACATGTGGACTTGCATCCAAGTGGAAGGGGCCGAGATGCCTTAGGCAGAAGATGCATGCCGATGTCCAAAGATGCACGTGTCCTTCAGAGTTGGACGGTCACTTGTTGAAATTGGGTGGGTGAGGCAATTTGTTTGTATTTTCTCTATGCTGATGCAGCGCATGAAGTTTCTTGACATTTCTTTGCCACTGCAACTTGCTGCAATGCCATATCCATATCAATCCACATCAGGGCAGTGTACTTTGGGCGAACCAACTTTCTGGTGACAAGAAGCCCGCCGTAGAAGACCAGATAAAGGCGATTGAACCTAAAACATTCTTTGTGTGGCTTCACTTGCCCAGGTCAGGACACCCTCCTCGAATCATTGAGTCACACGACTTCTCGGAGAGCCTTGTCTTGACCAGACTATTCAATTTGATGTGATTAATTATTGGACTCTTATCACGAAAGGTAGCTTGAGCTACCTGAGTTCTCCTTGCTTTAGCAAAAATGTATTACAATCAGGAGTTGGGATTGTGCATTGAATTTGGTCCTGTAAGAGTTGATTCTGTTCGTCGGGGGGGGGGGGCCCCCCCCCCCCCCTGGATCAAATCCCCCCTGCGCCGGTTCACGCCGTCGTGGACTTCTACCAGGGTTACTTGTGATTGCCTGCTACCTTTCGTTCACCCCCTCCTCTCTCAAGTCTCTTATATTAGAAACATATTTTGTCACTTGCTACCGCCTGATTGGCATAATTCTTAATTCATCTTAAGTCTAAACGTCTAAACACATTAATTGAACAGTGTACTTGGCACTGGAGCCAACATGTAGACGAATGAGGGCGCTCGTTTCTCCAAGGCGGATTCTTCTCTGAAGAGCATGCATTGGCTTTGTTGCTGAGGCAGAGTTGCTGCTGCCTTCCAGACACTCAGCAGGAGTGGGACTTCAGGACACTGCGCGTTGGGGATTTGTTTGATGTGCTTGGCCATGTACTACAATGTTGACATGTTCCGCCTCAGTGGTATCTGTATCTTAACAAGTGAAGCATCTGACGAAGGAGCCTAGTAGACGAGCCCACAGGGGCTTTGCTGGTCTCAATGCGAGTTGCTTGCACCCTAGGCGTTGTGGTTACAACTTGCCAAGTCCAGAGACCTGTTCTTGTCACCGTTATCACGCTGACTTAGGAAGTTGCAAGACGCTGAGCAAGGCCCTGCATGGCAGTTCCACAAGTTTCCTTGTTTCGTACAGCAGTCTCACTGATGTCACAAGCGCAACTGGCAGCTTGTTGCTATCAAGAAGGTTTTTAGCATGCTGGCAGCAACTGCCAGCTTGCGCGTATCACGAGGGGGAAAGACAGAGGAGCACTCGCCTCTTTCCGCTCTCACTTGCCCGTTCATACGCGCTAAAGCCCTAGATCGAACAGCGCAGCCTCAAGCTGTCCTGCTTGGCACGCATTGACCATGCCAGTTTAGAGTGGTCTTTGCAAGTTCTTTGGACCAATGTGGGTTACTAGTGGCATGAGCCCACAAGCTGGGTGCGTGCTTTCAAGATGCTAAGACGTGGAGACTTTAAAGGTACCAATTGCATTATAGATTTATAGAGTAAGACATGTTAAGACCAGACGGATATCACCGTGACTGGCTGTAGGACAGCACTTGGGGCGCCAAGCTTTGAGAAGTGCACTACTTCTAAGCATTCCGCTGTGAGGCACACCTGACTTGCCTCACACGGAGGTTTTTGAAGAAGAAACGCATAGATGAGATTGTCATTTGCAAACATAGTGTTCTAATTCCGTAGAATGCTACAAAGCTCGGCTCGAAGCTGTGACAAGAACTGAACCAAGCACGCTGTACAGATGTGCACGCTGTGGTGAGCACAGTTGTGAAAAAGGCATGCCAGTCCTCATTACAGGTCATGAGGAAGCCTTCTTGGACTGGGTTAGGGGCCAGGCAGAGACAAGAACTCGACACGATGGACAGCGATGCTTACGGCAGCTGGCTGATCAACATTCTTGGCAAGGATTGTGGAACAATGGGTTGTTCTTAAGGCAAAGTGTTAGGTTTTTGACAATAGCCAGGCATTGCACAAATGCACAAAGCTAACTATCACGTGCACATGGTTTGGCAAACGCACTCAGTTGAGTTCAGTGTGCAAAAGCCAGTCAGTGCGAAGCAGCCTTCAACACTCCTTGCCCACTCGGCAACACAGATTGATGCGATCAAGGAACTCAGCATGGGGGATGAGGCGCAGTGGACACTTGCAAGCTTTCAACTCAATGTGGAGAACACTTGTGGCTCAGGGGGCGCCACTGGACCTTCCATCCTTTCTTCAGGAAAGCGCCATACTTGCAATAAATAAAAAGAAGCAGATAACATGAGACATTGGAAAGATGATTTGGGAATCATGAAGGAACTGGTGGAGCGTAACCGCCATGCCGGAATCCTTAGAAAGACAGCATCTCTCAGTCTCTCAGGTTTGTTTTCCACATGGAGCATTGACCTCATTGACATGTTCCACTGATCAGGTCTCAGGCATGGCACTAGTACGTCAGGACCTTAGCGCATTCCGACTCGTCCGATTCAGGAAAAAAGGATGGAAGGAAGAAAGAAAGAGAGAGAGAGAGAGGGAGAGAGAGACCAGACCCCACCAGACTGACCGACAGGCGGATAGAGAGATGCTCAATCAGGCAACTGATGCGAGAGAGAGAGGCAGCTGATAAAGATGATAAGCATACGATCTAGTACCTAGTATGTATGTATATATGTTACAGACAGATAGCATATAATACACAGTTAGATAATTATACATACATACATACATACATAACATTACATAACATTACATAACATTACATAACATTACATAA